ACCTTGTAGCACTATCTCTCTCTTAATGAAGTAATGTTTAGGAAAAAGTGTTAGTGTGGCCTATTCCCCCCACACACCCCTGCTCTTGTCCTACTTCTTGGCCATCGTACATCATGGGTCAGATTCCAGAACCCTACTCTGAGTAGTCCTGAAGTTAGTGATACTGTTTGAGTTAGATAGTAAGTAGTGGGGTGTCACCCCAAAAATATTATTGGTGTTAGATTCATAATATGACCTAGCTAATTTTGAGTTAATCTGCTAGCAAAGGAGATGTTTATCAAGAAGACTTCCTTCCAATTTACAATGTTTGTGAATGATTTAATTGATTTTCTTTTATTTGTCTTACAGGAATTGTTTCAATTATGACTCTCACTGTTCTTGCCTATGAACGCTATATTCGAGTAGTCCATGCAAAAGTGATTGACTTCTCTTGGTCTTGGCGGGCTATCACATACATCTGGCTCTATTCGTTAGCCTGGACTGGAGCACCTCTTTTGGGCTGGAACAGATATACACTGGAAATTCATGGATTAGGTTGCTCAGTGGACTGGAAGTCGAAAGATCCCAATGATACCTCCTTTGTGCTCCTTTTTTTCCTTAGCTGTCTAGTAGCACCTGTTGGGATCATGGCCTATTGCTATGGCCATATTCTCTATGCAGTACGAATGGTAAGTTGATTCAAATAAAAGACTTCTCTTAATGTAATATTTTCAGTGAAAATGATGCTCTATATTAAGCTTGGATCAGAGCCTAAATTTGCACTCTTGTTTCCTATTCAAACTTTTGAATGTTTAATGTTCATCCACGTCAGGGACCACTAGAGAGGATGTAAGGTTGGAGGAGAACCAACCTAGAGCTACCAGGATCTATTTGTTGTGTAGTTTTACTGGGAGGCAGGCTAGGGAACTGCTCATGCTCACTAATCCACATCAGATCCTCCCTTGAAACACAGGGAAAAGAAGACTGTTTGCGGTTCTCCTGATCAAGTAAATCCCTCTCTCTTCTTTGTAACTCTTGAGAAGATAACCCTGTAAAACTCTTCCAAGTAGAGATTAAGTCCTGTTAAACTGGTTTTCCATGTTAAGGCAACCCATTTGAATTCAGATCTCTAGTGTCAGAAAGTGTTCATGTTTCTTATTCTATGGGTAATTAGCCTGGGCCCATTCAAGTTTGTAGTCAACAGTATTGGCACAACTGATAACTGTCACGGAGAACACTCATGTACATGTCCCGTCTTTTCCTCATTTTATGACTCGCTCAGATGACACTGGGAACCTGCTGCCTAGTATTCTTCTTTAAATAGAGATTTCATAATTTCAGGATAACAAACTAAGTGGCAGAGCAGTACAGACAAATCTGTTAATGAAATTTTCTTCTCTCTGAAGATTGCTGATGAGATAAATCTAAAGGATCGTCTGACTAGTCAGAGGAAGGACCACTAAATGTGAACTGAACTTGCTTGTGGCAGTGGATGAGGGCAAGTTGGTTTTGTAAAGTACTTACAAGAAGTGCAGCATGTTTTGTTACATCACTGGATTTGTTGTTTTCCAGTAGATTTGCTATTCTATTTCTCCTCAGATCATATTTTTAAATTTAATACAAGCAGTAGAAGTCTGGGAAGCATGATGTAAAATAAACTTCCAGAAGAATTATGGTCCACAAGATAAGGTGTATAGTATCTGTGCCTAAAACTAAATTGGTGAATTAGTTATAAATAAATTTAGAACTATACAGTTTCAAGTAAAACATGGAGCTATTTTACATCACCGTCTTGTCTCTTTCTTCTACAGCTTCACTGTGTGGAAGACTTCCAGACTGTTCAAACAATCAAACTTCTAAAATACGAAAAGAAGGTGGCTAAAATGTGTTTCTTAATGATCTCCACATTCCTTATTTGTTGGATGCCCTATGCAGTGGTCTCCCTCCTGGTAACATATGGCTATAGCAACCTTGTAACTCCAACAGTAGCTATCATCCCATTTTTCTTTGCCAAGTCAAGCACTGCTTATAATCCGGTCATCTATATTTTCATGAGCAGAAAGGTAGGTACATTAAAGATTTTCTTATTTGAATAATTAGTAGCCTATGCCACAGTTGTGGAGGTTAGATTTGATTTACTTTAATCTGTAAAGCCTAATTTTTTTTTTATTTGAATGGCTAGAATAAATGGTAAAAATCTAGTAGAATTAAAATACCTGATGATGCTTAAAGTACTACCCTATCAGAAACTGGATTTTAAATGTCTGAATTCACACATGAGCACTCTCATGAAAGGGAGGGGAAGGAGTGTCAAAATTTAAGTGTCTAGTTCTGATGATTTACCCATGAAATGGGTTTCGACTAGAAAACCTCATCTAAATCACTCCCTGACCACAACAGAACTCCATCAGATAACATTCAGAATATCTGGTGTCTGTTTTTTAGGAAGAAAGAACTTGCCTCTGAGTTTTCCAGTATAGCAACACAAGGATTGAACAACCCAGCATAGTATTTCAAATAAGTATGCTCACAAAAAACATGAGTGACAGCCTGTTTAGGATTTTAGACTGGGTTTTGCTAAGCAAATGTGTCAGTAAGATGTTTCAATAATGTTAAAATACCAGGGAGTGAAACAATTGTCCACACCCCAGTTCTGCTTAAGCCTAGAAAAGTTTTAGGAACACACGTTCATGATATGTTACTCCTCAGGAGCCCAACCATGAAAAAGAAAGAATATTGCAAGCAAAAGTAGGTATCTATTTGGTTGGCACCTGGAAGAAAAATTTAAAAAAGAAGACATCTTGAAATTTTGTTTAATCTCAAGTGGCAACAAAAATTGTAATTTGTTATGAATTAAAAAATTTCTAAGTGTACAATACTAAAAAAACAATTCTAAAGTAGGAAAGTGAAACACGGTATTATTAAAATGTTTCCGTTAAGCTTTTAAGTGAACACTTAATGAAATTCTGCACACTGTGTTGGATCATTTCAGTCTTGATAAATTGTGATTTTGGTGGAAAAATATTACACCAGTAACATTTCTTAGAGCTTTGTTGTATTCAAAGCCAGAATCTCATGTGGATGTCAGTGTGTGGTGGTTTAACCCTGGCTGGATGCCAAGTGCCCACCAAAGCCACTCTATCACTCCCCTTCTCAACTGGACAGGGGAGAGAAAGATATAAGAAAAAGCTCATGGCTCGAGATATGGACAGGGAGAGATCACTCGGCAATTACCATAATGGGCAAAACAGACTCAAATGGGGAAAACCACTTAAACTTATTACCAATCAAAACAGAGTAGGGTAATGAGAAATAAACCCAAATCTTAAGACACCTTCCCCCCACCCCTCCCTTCTTCCCAGATTAAACTTTACTCCTGATTTTCTCTACCTCCTCCCCCTGAGGGGTGCAGGGGGATGGGAATGGGGGTTGCGGTCAGTTCATCACACATCATCTCTGCTGCTCCTTCCTCCTCAGGGGAGGACTCCTCACAGTCTTCCCCTGCTCCAGTGTTGGGGTCCCTCCCGTGGGAGACAGTCCTCCATGAACTTCTCCAACGTGGGTCCTTCCCACATGCTACAGATCTCCACAAACTGCTCCAGCGTGGGTCCCTTCCACGGGGTGCAGTCCTTCACGAGCAGACTGCTCCAGCGTGAGTCCCCTGCAGGGTCACAAGTGCTGCCAGCAAACTTGCTCCAGTGTGGTCTCCTCTCTTTCCATGGGTCCACAGGTCCTGCCAGGAGGCTGCTCCAGCATGGGCTTCCCAAGGGGTCACAGCCTCCTTCGGGCACATCCACCTGCTCGGGTGTGGGGTCCTCCCCGGGCTGCAGGTGGATATCTGCTCCACCAATGGACCTCCATGGGCTGCAGGGGGACAGCCTGCCTTCACCATGGTCTTCACCATGGGCTGCAGGGGAATCCCTGCTCTGGTGCCTGGAGCACCTCCTCCCCCTTCTTCTGCACTGACCTTGGTGGCTGCAGAGTTGTTGTTCTCATATAGTCTCACTCCAGCTGCAGTTTGTGTCCTGGTGTTTCAGTTTGGTGGGGTTTTTTTGTGGGTTTTTTTTCCCCTCCTTCTTAAATACATTATCCCAGAGGCACTACCACTGTTGCTGATTGGCTCAGCCTTGGCCAGCGACGGGTCCGTCTTGGAGCTGGCTGGCCTTGGCTCTATTGGACATAGGGGAAGCTTCTAGCATCTTCTCACAGAAGTCAGCCCTGTAGCCCCACTGCTACCAAAACCTTGCCACGCAAACCCAATACACAGTGAAATGTTTTTTGGACATAAATTATATACTGTTAAGAAGACATACTTACTTATGAGAAAAATAAGTTTTATTTTTGTTTGCTTTTGTAGTCTTCATTATGAAAAGTAGACTGCTTATTTAATGCTGGTAAGTAGCTCATTTCAGTGCTTTACAGAGCAGAGAGAATGGAAATATTTGGAATTATCAGTGGCATGTCAAATATATGGAAACTAGAAAACTATGCATCTTTCAGTAAATCATCAGTACTCTGAAGATAACCACTGAATGCAGTAAAGTGGTGGTGGTGAATTTATTAAATGTTAAAATAGTTTCACTATAACACTGAACATTAACTGAAAGTGTAACATGCACACTGTCAACTTATGAAACCAAGATTGTATAGAGTTCAAGATATCTTTAGCAGAATAGAATTTAATAGAACAGAGTTTAATAGAATCACTTGACAAAGAGTAAAGAAATATGAATGATTGCTGGAAGGATTTCCCTGGGTTTTCATTACTTCATATTGGGATGGAATTTTCTGTGATTTCCTACACTGGTTTGCAACTGGCAGGCAGCAGCCCAGGCCAGCCAACAGTCTGTAGGGACAGGGCAGCCAAGTTAGTGGGTCTGATCAGTGAGATGGGCAGCCAGGCAAAGGCTGCAGTGCAGCTCAGGCCAGGACCAAGGGCAAGGGTGAGTTTAAATGCTATTCCTGAGTGAAGGCAGGAGGCCCCCAAGGTGGCATCTCACAGCTCTTTCCCCACAGCTCATTTCACAGCAGGCTGATCCAAGGTTACACAGCTGTGTGATATCAGAGCTGGCCTGGGTATGGGGAGCTAACAACAGTCATGTTCAAAAAGAGTATTTTTCAACAGAGTGATTTTTTTTTTTTAATACAGTGAGTATATAAAAGTTTATAAACTGAATAGTTTAACCTGAAAAAAATTTTGTAGGTTCTGATACCCAGAAGCAAATCAAACTGGTACCAGGGACAATGCCAGTAAAGTCATAGCCAGGATAAGAACAATCAGCTGAACATGCTTATTGGAGATGCATTGTGAAGTGCTTCTCACTCACCTCTGATTCCAGATTAAGACCAAAACGGTAATATTTCTGCTCATCTTCTGGGTTATTTTGCCCTCGGAAAGAGTCCTAAAACCAGTTCTTCTCTGTGAAATCCTTCCTCTGTCTGACCTGTTCTAACATGCTTGTGCCTTCTCACTTCCATGCTACTCAGAGTTATCACATTATCACTGAAATCTTCAAGGCCTCCACATGACCATTCTCTTGTGTTTTCACATAGCACCAGATTACCCTTCTCTATCATCTTGTAACTTTCTAGGTCCCCTTCACAACAGGACCTATTGCCTCCCCTGTGTCAGAGTAGGATTAATTTCCTATAACAAAACCTTTCCAAACTGGCATGTCAGAGAGCTTCTTGCATAATAGCTGGGAAAGCAAAGTCAGTGACCATGCAGAATAATCCTGAACACAGCTAAATGGAAGGCTGTTGAGAAACATGTCCTACTCCCTTTTCAGAGAAAAGGTGGGTTGTGTCCCCCCTCCCCCCATTTGTTGTTGTGGGGTTTTTTGTTTGTTTAAGTCTTCTTCATACATTCCAGGTATGTCTTGTTATGGGTTATTAAAAGGAGACTGCCCACTTACTTCTTGTAAAGCCAAAGAATTTCCCCAAAGGATCAAATCTGAACTTTAGATGTGTGCAGACACGGAACTACTGAATGAGTGCATCCTTTAACCCCAATACCTGAATGCTTTGCTTTGTGAAGAGGAGACCATAATTGCAGCATTTAAAACAGAATTCTGTCTACTGGTGTGAGCTTTCACTGAATACTTATTTAATCACAAGGTAGAACAGACTTGCTGTATCATAAATGGCTTCTAATTAGCTAAAAGACTTCTGTTCGTTCCATATTCTGTCTACTGGTGTGAGCTTTCACTGAATACTTATTTAATCACAAGGTAGAACAGACTTGCTGTATCATAAATGGCTTCTAATTAGCTAAAAGACTTCTGTTCCTTCCATATTCAATGTGAACACTTTAGTTCTGTGTTACCAACCTTTGAAATTTTATTTTATATCCGTGACATTCAATGCTTTTGTTAAAATTCCAAACCCTTGAGTTACTTAAAAGGAAGAAAACATCACTTTGTATCCCTTTCCTCCCCTTGTTCCTTCCCTCTGCATACTCCTGTGAAGTGTTTCTGAGAATATTCTTCCCCGCTAGATCAAGTATGTGATTTTTTGAATACTCATAAGATGGGGACAGTACCTATAGCTCACTTTGAGAGCCTAGTCCTCTTGTTCTTTGCAGATTATCAATTGCAGATCTTGCTGCTGGTGAAGTATTAAATTGCATTTCAGTGCCCTCTAGTGGCTAGGTGATCCTATTCAGCTCTTTGGTGTAGGGGAAAAAAGTACCCACTAAAAAGCCATGTTTGTTACAGCACTAAAACTAACTCGGAAGAAGGTGGAGATATGCAGAAATCTGTTATTTTGACTCATTTACTATACTGCCGTCTCTTCACTGGATCATATATGATAGTGAATGCCTGAGGAAGTGGTAACTTCATTCTGTTTACTCTCTCTTTCAGTTTCGACGATGCCTTTTGCAACTCCTATGCTTTCGCCTGATGAGATTCCAGAGGAGCATGAAAGAGACACCAACAACAGGGAATGACAAACCAATACGACCAATAGTTATGTCTCAGAAAGCACGGGACAGGCCAAAGAAGAAAGTGACTTTCAGTTCTTCCTCTATCATTTTTATTATCACCAGTGATGACGCTCAGCAAATAGATGACAACACTAAACACAATGGGACAAAAGTAAATGTCATCCAAGTAAAGCCACTATAGGGATGAGCTAAAAAGATGTGAGAATGAGATGGACTTCAGCCAGTAGTCTGTTTAGGTTGGAGACCAGTTTCAGTGGTGGTGCCTGTGGGCTGCCAAAGGAAACCACATTCTTAAGCTGTGAAATACTGAAGAGATTCTGCATCTGAAGCTCTGCAGGCAGTTCAGTTTTGGTCACAGTACTGAAATCTCTGTGCCAAAATTGCTGATGGATGTCTTTACTCTGAATTTTCTTAAAGCATATTGTAGGATTGCCATTCAGGAGAACTTGGTCAGGCTGGAGGAATGTGCTGACAGAAATGTTATGAAGTTCAGCAAGGGCAAGTGCAAAGTCCTGCACTTGGGAAGGAAGAACGATGCTGCAACGCAGCAGGCCAGGCCCTGGCTGCCTGGGATGCAGCTCTGCGGAAAAGGATGTGGGGTCCTGTTGCTCAATGAAGCAGGGCATGAGCCTGCAGCATGCCCTGGCAGCAAGGAAGGGCACCAGCATCCCAGGCTGGACTGACGGGATCAGAACCAGTAGTCTGAAGTGATTATGCCCTCAACTCAGCCCTCGTTAGACCACATCTAGATACTGCATCCACTTTTGGGACCCTAATACAAGACAGACATTTGTAAACTGAGGTGATTTCAGTGGAGTCCTCCAAGACTGTCAGGGGTTGGAGTACTTGGCCTGTGAAGAGAGGCTGGGGGAGCTGCACTTGACCAGCCTGGAGATGAGACATCTTCAGGGGAACCTAATAGCAGCCTTCCAGTAGAGGTGGGGAGGTTTTCAGGAGGATGGAGCCAGGCTCTTCAGGGTGATGCATAATGGAAGGATCAGTGACAACAAGCATGAACTGAAACAAGAGATTTGGATGGGATATAAGGAAAAGCTTTTTACCCTGAGGACAGCTAAGCAGTGGAACAGGTCAGACTAGAGTCTTCCTGAGGTTCCTACCAGTTTGAGTGATCCCTGAACTGCTAGCACTCCCTGCGCACAGAGTTACCAGGGAAGAGGGAGAAATGTTTGAAGTTGGGTGCTGTTCAGTTGGCCTGAATTGGCGCTTTGCAGGGCAGGGGGTGGCAGAAGTGATATGACAGTGACTGGGGCTATGGTTAAACCAGAAGCCACCGGAAAGCTGTCCCTGTGTACTCAGCAAGCCATTCTCTCGGTTCTAGCTGGTGGGACTCCTGAGCTACATAGTGAAGAAAATCATGCAAATCAAAGCAGTGAAAAGGGAGAATCAGAAACTTTTTTTGCTACAACACATGCTTTATGCATCTTTATCTTGCATCCATTTTGTACATGGACTAGGTGCATCATCCTATATTAATCTTCAGCCTGCTCTGGCACTTTGGTGAAAGTAACAGAGAAGAGCAGTGTAACTTTTGCCAAAGTTGCAGTGTGAGTAATGATTCTCCCGGTTGGAGTTCAGTAAACGGAACAGATAGTTCGGTTTTTTTTTTCCCCCTCACCTTTGTAAGTGTTGCTGGTACAAATTGGCAACAGGATTCTGCCCCAGACATGGCTGCCTGTCAGCATTGGACAAGTTAGAGAACTAATTTTGAATTATGGCAGCTGATTCTCTACCACATTCCTTGCACTGGTGTAATTTCTCTGCCTCAGTCTGCTAAATGGGCAGTGTGGATCTGCAACATGCAGTTTTTCCATCTCTGTGAAAGCTGTAAGAAGAGCAATTAAGAAACTATTTGCTTCCTCTGGGGACAAATCTTCTGAGAGGTATAAAGAGAACATGCTGAATAACTGTTGCCACCAGTAGCCATAGGTCCTGCAGTCAAGAATAAAACTTAAAAATTAAATAGAAAATATCAGGGTCTAAATGTAGAAGCTTTCAGCTAGTTCCTGGGAGTTGGGAGTGACCTTAAGTGAGAATAAGTGACTGACGTTGTGCTTGTGCCTGTGCTTTTGAAGAGGCAAATTCCTTATGTGTGTACCCCTCTAGAGCTTTAGCACTGGTAATCTGGCTCTGTGTCATGTTTAAAAGTGCATCCGGAGTCCACTCTGGTTTCTAGATTAAATCATAGAATCTGAGAGAAAACAGATGGTAAATACTTGTCTTTGTTTCTTTCATATTTGTTATTTTTGTTTTGCTACAAATGTATAGGTATGTTGTCTTACCATGTCAAAGATGTCCTCACTAAACCATGTTCATTGCAATGTCAAGGACTACGTTTTCAGCCAATGATCACTACATCTATGCACATTTATATTTACAAAGGGAGAAAGATGTACATTAGCATTCCATGTAACTATTCCATCCTTTTAAAAAAAAGTTTGGTATTTTAGTATTTTCTGTATATTGAGCCTTCAATTACTGATTAAATGTACCTTATTTATATCAATGTGTTCTCAGTGAAATATTTTTTTCTCCACTGAGAGGGAGGTGGTTTGGTATCATCATTTGTTGGATACAGCTTAAAGGGTATTATTAGGCACTGAAAAAAACAATGGCACTGAAAAAAACAATGGCACTGAAAAAAACAATGGCACTTCAGGATTCCAGTTGATCTTTTTGTAAAGAACAAGTATAGGGTCTGTAAAGAGAAACTATCCACTGTTCAGATTTATGAAGGTAAAATTTGAGTAATTAACAATAACAGTATATGATTCTTTTAATAAATGATATGTGACATTTAACTGCTACGATACATAGAACACTAACAATTATGTAACAATATATGAAAACTAAACATTAAAAATTATTGTGAATTTGCTAGCTTGGCTACTTTTTGTAAATTGGTGGCCAAAAATGATACATTTTGTGAACTGTTTGAGGTAACTTGTTACAGCCTGTGAAGTGTCACTAGCTTTATGAGTGTGGCCATATGAAGTTAGCATGCTGCAGTCCTATTTGCTCATCTGCTAAGCTCTTTTCTGTGGGTGACTGCAGCACTGATGCAAAATTCACACCCTGCTACAGAATGTAAGTATTGTAACAGTCAGTCTTGGAGTATCACCAGGTTATTTACAGATTTGTTAAACTTCTTTTAAAAATTGTAAGTCTGTCTTTGGTCTCTTCTGGGCATGTCACAACTGGCTAGTTTATTACAGTGGAGATGCAGAGACTTATGTGAGACCTTTCTTTCCCATTACAGGGAACGGAGGAGGAAGATGCTTAGCATTAACATTTGGACCATTAGTTGTTCCTAAAGTAACAGAAATGCAGACTAAGAAAGAGGAAAAGGAGGAGAAAGTGTGAAGGGCAAAAGGATAAGAAGAAATGAGAAAGGTACATTATTTATGGAGATTTTAAATAAACTAGTTGGTAAGAACTTCATGATGCTGTCATGCAAGGGGAAGTGGCAGGTGTGGTGAGTACTGTGATAGCTTCAGAGGCAATTAATTTCTCCTAACAATGTTTCATTGATTTCATGTATTACTGGAAAAATACATACGATGATTTAGCTAGAAGGCCATTTGTAACTTGCAAATGCAGGAGCCTCAATTAAATTGCTTCCCAGCAGCTGGTATGTCAGGACTCTGTTGGAGGCATTTTTGCATCTCCTTCACGCTGTGGAAAGGATCCTCTCTCTCCCTGCATTTTGAGGCAGTCATGAATCCTGAGGCTGTGTCCACTGACCTGCCAGTGCAGGGGCTTCTGCTGCTGCCCTGGATCCCATGGAGGCAAGAAACTGCAGGCTGTGCGGTGCAGATCTGCTCTGCAGCCTTGTGACCTTCCTTCTCTTTCAGCTCCTGCTGGATTTATGCTGAATATATCTGACTTCATACAGAAGAGTTGGGTCTTGAACTACTAAGACATTATCTTTTATCACAATGATTACATCAGTCAGGAGATCAGTATTCACAAGCATTATCCTTTGTGCTCCTGTCCTTTGCATAACAGCAGTATCCTGCTGCTGTTTCCTGCTAGAATACTGCAACAGCTAAGTGAAATGGATATTCAAGCGCTATATTGTGCTAAACCATCCAGAAAGAATGGCCTTTAAGAATACATTTATCCTTGGCTTATATAAACAACCTTCAGCTCAAGAACAGAATTTGACTGTGTCATATTCAGAGGTAAGAATGAGAAAAACCTGATGATGGTGGTGGAAGATTCCACAAAGTTATATTTGACCCACATACAAGCATCTCGGTTGGAAAATACCTGTTGTTGGGTATTTCTTTTGTCAGTCCATTTCACCACAGTTAAGGAGCCTTATTTTTTTTTTTTTTGTCTTTTGTAAAGGAACAGAGGGGGAGGTGAGGGGTGAGGCTGGAAGAGTCCCAGACGGTGGGGATGCCCGTTCCTGCTGCTATTAAAGGTTAGCAGTAGGTGCCCCTTTTGAGTGGGACTGGTACTTGCACATGTCCCCATCCCTCCCTGGGTGGCAGCAATAGCAGGATGAAAAGCGGGAGGGAGACGTGCACAGCTGATCTCCCTTTCTTCTGCCACAGGCAAGCACTGCAGCCTTTTAGTCGCACTTGTCTAACACCCAAGGCTGCTTTGCCTGCCGCTCTGACCTGGCTCTGCATTTCATTTATCCAGCTCAAGCTGAACATTATGAATGCCTTTCTCTCTCTCTCTCTCTCTCTCTCCCCCCCCCCACCCCCCGCTTACCAGATTAGTATTGAAGAATTACTTGTAACGCTTTAAAGTTGAAGAGGAAATTAAATTGATTTTTCAGTACAAATTAGAATGCAGGTTATTAGCAATAGACTTGGCATCGAACGCTGCCTGGACCGGGCTCTTCTGCCTCGCGTTTCCTTGCGTTTTCAATGGTGTTTGTGCTCCCTCTCGTGGCTTGCTCAGCCCGGCACCCGCTGACAGGAGAACAAGTGTGGCCTCCTAAAAACCTGTTTTCATTACACATTTCCCCTGCATGTGGGAAGAGTCAGCGTTTCCTGTCTCTTATATTTTGTTTACATTGCATATACTTCTGTCTTTGAAAAATTACGGGAAATAGATACCTGTAAATAATAGGAAATCTAGCCTGTCACAGTGATAATTTGAGAAGCTTATGGCTTTGCGTGTTCTGGAGAATGCAGCCATATAGAA